AAGGCATGGAAATTAGAAATCCCATGTACTATTAATGGAAATATTTAATGGTGCTACTACTATGGAAAACAGTATGGAAGCTCCTCTCAAAATTAAAACTGGAATTAGTATCTGACCAACATTGCTTCTTCTGGATATAAATCCAAAGGAAGAAAAATCTTTATCTAGAAGAGACAACTGTTCTTCCATGGTCAATGAAGCATTATCCACAATAACCAAACATAAAAACACCTACCTGCTCATCACTAGATAGATGAATAACAAACATATGTTGGTGTATATGTGTACCTGTATATACTGACAACTTCAAATACTATTTAGCCTTAAAAATGAAGAACACTTTACCATTAGTAAGAATTTATATTAATTTGGAGGACACATGTCCTCTACTTATATTACGTGTTCAGAATAATCAACTCATGAACGTCATGGTAGTGCTTTCCAGAGGCCAGCAGAAGAGAGAATAGAAATAGTTCAGTGGGTAAAAGAATCACATATATAAGATGAAAAACTTCTAGGTATCTAGTATATAACATTGAACTTATGGTCAACAATACTATACTATAAACCTAAACACTTCTTAGAAGATATGTTAGCTTTTCATTACTATGACAAAGGCCTGTCAAAACAAACCTGAAAGGAAAAAATATTTATTTGGGCTCATGGTTTCTGAGGTTTCAGCCAATGGTTTCCTAGTTCCATTACCTGAAGCAGAACATCATGGAGAGGACATGATAAACTAGGGATGTCCACCTCATAGTAGCTAGGAATCAGAGAAAATCAGAGAGGTACCTGCGACAAGCTATAACCTCCAAGGAAATACTCAATGACCTACTTCCTCCAGCTAGGCTCCAAATCTGCAAGTTTCCATCATCCACAACAATGTCATCATATTATGAATCTATACATGAATCGATCCATTTGATTTGATCAGAGCCCTCATAATACAGTCACCTTTTTATGATTGAATCCAGTAGCTAGGGACTAGACCTTCAACATATAACCATTACTATTTATTCCATCAATACAAGAGAAATATAGCATGTTAATGGGATAAAATTTTAAATTAGATTTAAAAGCTCCCAAGAAAGCATTAACATTCATTGTATTTTTGATTAACAAAATTAAATATTGTCATTCATAACATAAAAATGATACATTTTATAAAACAATATTGACCCAGGTGCCCATATCTCAGTCCTGTAATACTAGCTACTCAGGAGGATGAGGTCTGAAGATTAAGGTTCAAAACCAGCCCTGGTGGGAGAGTCTGTGAGACTCATCTCCAATTAATCACCAAAAAGTTGGAAGTGAACCTGTACCTCTAGTGGTGGAGTGCTATCCTTGAGCAAAAATCTCAGGGACAGTTATTATTCTGTAATATGAAGATCAGGAAAAATAGCACTTTTATTTTACTTAGGCACCACTCCATTTGAATAAAATATTAACTATAGTTGCCAGAAAGAAAAAGGAGCTGAAGGTACATTTAGTAAAATACAACAAAATCATCTTTTGCTTGTAACATGAATATGTATTTAGGAAATCCAAATAAGTCAACCAAAAAATTACCAGAGGTAATAAATGAGTTCACCAGAGTGATGAATGAAGTAAGCCCACAAAAATAAATTGAATGTATCCCTATATACTAATAATACAGAAAATACAATTAATAACACAAAAGGAAATAAAACCAATTTACAAGTTACTTGAAAAAAGTAAATGCCTTTGTATCAATTAAGTTTGTGACACTAAGAAAATTGAGACTCTAATGAATAAAAACTGAAATAGTTAAATAAATGGAAGCTACACTTTTCTCATTGACAGAGTAAATAAAGATGAGTTATTTAAACTCACAAACATGTACTATGGACCTCAGTTGTAAGAATTAGGAGATGTTATAACTAAATTAAGGTGTCTTGATTATTGAAATGGATCATTCAGAAATTGATTCGAATTATTGTCAGAATAAGTAAAGCTATTGTAAAAAGAAAAACAACATCAATGAAGAGAATGTTTAGTAATAAGTCTTGCTTTCAGCAGTTAGATTGTATATGTTAACAAATAAATACAAAATAACTTACAACTTCAAACTATGCATTTGCAACAAATTATAGTTATTGTAAATAGCTTTCATGACAATGGATATCTTGTTAAATCATAAAGTTGTAGTCTTAAAAACTGAAATTCAATTAGTGTCAGGACAGATTAAACATGTTCACAGAATTAAGCATGTTGCCAGCATTAAGACAAGATAGATCTAAACAAAGGCAGTTAGGAATAGATCCAGCTATACAAACCAGTATGTGAAGAATTTGTGAATAGTAGATGACAGTCCAAGTAAAAAAACATGCTTAGGAAAATCAGGGAAAAGGGGAAAGTCTAGTGATTTGGTAGAGAGGTAGGGAACAACAAAGTGACTCATAAAGGTAACAGGCATTATTTAAATAGGTAGTTGATGTACGAGTTGTGGCAGCAGGTTTTGAAGTCCTACTTGCTATTCTGTGATTTAGAATTAGAAATCATGTTCCTAAAATAACCAGGAAAATTAAGGAAAAGTTCTAGTCTTAGAAGAATTGAGGAAGGACTCTTAGCACAGTTGAGGCAGATTATAGAAAGAGAGGGCAAATCCTAGAACTACTTTGCAAGGTATAAGCATAATTGTAAGAAAAAAGCAGGGATTGCCCTAGTAGAAAAATGACTGATCCAGTTTAAGCAGAGGTTAAATGTTTCTAGCTATGAAGATTAAAAGATATTAGAGATATTGAACAAGCTAACTTTATGAAACAGTATATTTATTCCAACTATAGAAGACAGACATTTCTGATACCTAAAGAAATAAGATATTTCATTTTAAGTTAAATAAGATAAATGTATTTAAATGCCTAAAAAGTAAAAATCCTGTTAAGCTATAAATTTCAATGTAATGAAAATCAAAAGAAAGAATCATAATGGGAAAATTTCATAAGAAAAATGTAATGATAAAAGCTCACCACCCAGTGTGAATAAAAAACTTTTGCACATATATCAGACTAATATTCAGATTCTATTTGATAAGTTAACAAAAAAATGATGAACAGGCAGTTTACATAAATACAAATTGAAATTAGATATAATCTTATGAAAAAAGATAAAGCCTTAATCATAATTAGATTCATACAAATTAAAACAACTTGATGGTTCCACCACTTCACTATTAAACTGTCCAAAACACAGTGGATAAGGTCAATTTCCAGTGGTAATATTAGGAAATGGTGCATTTAAGGATTGCTAGTGGCATTGCTAGTTGATTAATTTTTGAAGGCTAGTTACTTGGCAATATAAGAAAGAATAAACAAATCAAACATTACTTTTTCTTAGTAGTTCCACTATATGGACATAACTCCAAGGAAATAATCAAAAGCTAAAAAATGATTTATACTTCAGTTTTCATGGTATTTCACTATAAAGTTATTATAAAATCAGAAAAGAATTCAAATACTCTGCATTACTGATATAGTAACACAAGTTTTCTACAGGCATTAAAAGTGAAAAATGTGAGAAATGTGTTGTTATATGTATTTGGCAAGAATATCTACCGCATGTGTGTCAAAACTTTTCATGTTGAAAAACTTCAGAGTCTAAATAAATACACAACAACACATCTATGTTATCAAGTATAAGACTACCTATAATTTTCAATTTCTGTTACAACAATTTATTTCCCTAGGAATTTGTCCATACCATCTAAACTTTCAAATTTACCGACAAAAAGATTTTTAGTTCTTTTTAATTTAAAAGGTACTTTGATATTTGCTATTTTATCCTTACAGGTATTGATTATTTGTATCTTCCCTACTTCTTCACTTCCTTCTGCATTATTGGTAGAAGCTTCTACATTGAATTTGTTTTTGGCTTAATTGAATTTATCTACTGTGCATTTGTTTTGTTATTTTACTTCTGTTTATCTTTATTATTTTCTTTCCTTTGTATTCCTTGAAACTAATATATTACTTTCTTCTAATACATTGAAAGGAATGCTTGTATCCATTGATATATCTGATTTCAATCTGTCTTCTTTGCAGTGTATTTGTGGACACAAATCTCATCTAGCCACTGATAAAATTACATCATATATGTGTTGATACATGTTTTTTATGATCATTAAGTTTAAAATATTTTCTAATTCCCATATGCTTCTTTTACCTATAGATAATAAAAACATGCACTGCTAGTTTTTTAAAATTCAATGATCACCTAGTTATCATTTTGTTATTAATTTCTAATAATACACACTTCTTACAACTTTGGTGTAGCCTAATACACTAAAATTCATTCAGTTTGTTTTTCACTCAATACAAAGAATTAGGAAACTAGTTCTATTTATAAATTTGAAAATAATATGAACTAAGAAATCCATGTCATTATGTTAATAACAGGCTCTAAAAAGAACAAAAATTCAAGTAGCCAGTCATATAAAATTGGTTCAATTTCTTTGGTATGAATACTCCAACCACATTAAATAGTAAGTTATTAATTCATATGATTGAGTATGGATTTGACTCTCATAAGCCTATGTTCTAGCTTTAGGATATTAAGGCAAATTATTATTGTTTTTTTGGGTTTTAATACATGATGGTCTTTATTTACAATTTTATTGGCAAAAAAGAAGAAGAAAAACTCAAGACAGTTTAACACACGAAATTATAGCTGATCCTATCTGATCAAAGAAGTTCTATTTCAACTCTCCATCTAATTGTCCACAGATATACAATACTGAATCTGCATATGCAGTTTCCTTTATCAAGTACAGTGCTCACATTTTAGGCAGTCTTGAAGACACATAAATACAGAGGAAAGAAAGAAAATCATTCATTAAAAACTGCATCAAATGTAGGGTACTTTAAATATAAATTCATGTTGCTCCTAGTAATTACATATATGCAATGAAAATCAAAAGCTAGGCAAGCAATTCAACTTCCTAGGAACAGTTACAACAACCAATTATTTCCTGCAAAGACCATTATATTTTTAATTTATCATGAACTACTCTGAACTTACTGTGAGATGTAGCCAAAGTCAGAAGAAAAGATGTAGGGAGAATATTCCTTTTCTGGAGGAGAGTAAGCCCTCCAGAACCAGCATGGGAAATAAGCATCCTGTTGTTTCTAAGTGAAAAAAAAATTAATGCAGTCAATTTCAACTCATGATGAGCTGACTTAACTTTTTATCAACTTGTTCAGTGTCATTCTTCTAAATCAAGTGTGTTTAATTCTTCTAATTCATCCAAATCTTTTCCAGTAAAAAGATTTTCATCAACAGGAACAGAATCGATGGCTCCATTTTCTTGTCCCTCCCCTTCGTTGTCCTCTTCCAAATCACTTCTTTCACCATTTTCTGCCCTACCTCCAGATGCTTCGCTTAATTTGTTTTCATCTTTATCCAAAGCATATGTGTTGAATCTTTCAAGACTGGCTACCGTAATACCTGTCTCATCCACAGCTCTAGGGACGTACAGACTTAAAACTATGTCATTTACACTCATGGAATCATCAACCTCATCACCTCCTGTTCCCTGAATGTAATGGGTGTCATCTGCTTCTTCATCACCATCATTGACAAGTTCAGGATGAAATTCAAACACTTCACGACCACTGATCACCAGTGCCTTCCCTGCTTTGAAGTCTGCTTTTCTTCTTTCCAAATCTTGTTCAAGTTTATCAATCTTTTCTTGTCTTTTCCTTTTCTTCCATGTAAGAAAAGATTCTAGAGTGATTTTGGTAACATTTGGACCTAGGGCAGAGCGCTCTCTTTCAATCAGGTCGTCCAATGATATTTCATCTTCTTTCTCCTCTTTTTTTTTTTTTTTTGTCCTTTTTCAATACAAATCCAGAAGGAAGTGCATGACGATACATGCAGTTATCACCTCCTCCAGTACATACCCAAAACCAGCCATACTTGTTATTTTCAATAGCTTCAAGGAAATGCTTGCACATTATTTGAGTTTTTGGTTTTTTCTTTTTTTTTTTAATTTAATTTTATTTTATTTGAGAACATACTGTACAGAGGGGTTACAATTACATGGGCAGGATAATGCATACATTTCTTACCAAGCATTGCAGCCTCCTCCTTTGTTTACCCTTCACCTCCCTTCCCAGCCTCCCCCCCCCTTCCCAGCCTCCCCCCTCCCCCCCACCCAATCATACCCCCCCTCTCCCCCCCCCCCCCACACCGACATTGTAAAGCTGGTTTTGACATGACATTTTGTACTTCTCATTGTTGCAACAGGTCCACCTGAATCCTTAAACGACTTGTTTGTCCCCATCTCCTCCACATGTTATACTGACATCAAATATAGTGAAAGCGGGGGTTACACTGTGGGGGAGGGACATACAAAGCAACAAAGAAATAATCTTATAAATGCGTTAGAAACACATGCATGAAAGAAACAAAAAATTCTTTTCCGCCCCACCATGCTTCTTGTTCACTACTTCTTCCAGCTTTTTCTCATCCCAATTTTTCATTGTGTCTCTTTCAAGTTCTTCATCCCTTGCATCAATGTAAACACTTCGCTTTTCACATTTTCTCTCCAAAGTCAAGTCATGAGAGAACTTACATTTATCTCCTTCAGTACACTGTCTTTGCTTGAAGAAGGCACACACCAGACTTGAGATCCGCACCTTTACTTATTTTTTGAGCAGCAATAACAGGTTTGAACAGCTCATTAAGTTCTTGTAATTCTTTCTTCTTATCATCTTTCTTCAATTTCTTTGCAGCTTCACTCTGTGTTACCTGACGTGGATTTTGTTGACCAAATTTAACTTGGTGAGTGACAGCCTTGATAAACTTTTGTTGTTTTGCTCCTTTCTTATTCTTTAGGTCAAAAGTTTTGTCTTCGATAATCTTCTCCTTCTTCTGTTCCGCCTTTTTGCTGCCCCCAGCCTGAGCCTGTTTCTTGGGAGGCATTGCGAAGACCAATGGCACCGGCCAGACCTAGGCGCGGATGGATCCAAATTATTATTGTTTAGTTCAGTGTTCTGTATCCTTACAGATTACTTATCTTCTTATTATCTTCTTATTTTCTAAATGAGTTGTGTATTGCAAATTGTCCTCTGTGTGTGTGTGTGTGTGTGTGTGTGTGTGTGTGTGTGTGTGTGTGTGTGTGTGTGTGTGTGGAGAGAGAGAGAGAGATGAGAGAAAGGTGATTAGGTGATGACATTAACTGCATAAACATTTAAATTGTTATCTCTGAGTTGTCAACATACATGTTATATATTCTATCATCTTTAAGTAGCTGTACAAAGGAGGTGCCATATAACAAAGCAGTTTATGAATACAATGTATCTTGATCAATGTCATCCATTCAACATTCTCATCCCCTAGACCCATCCCTCCCTTAGTTTTCTTAATTTTGTGGTATATACAATACATTATTGTCTGCATTCTCCTGCCTTCCCTCCTTCATTAGTCTATTCACACCTTTCTCCATGGCCCAAACCTGTTCCTTGAATGAACCCATTTCCTGGTGTTGATTTTGTTGGACTTTCACCTAGTCTTTCTAAAAGATTGCACTAGTTAAACTCTCCTTAGAGTCCATTATACTTCACTTAATTCATTTGCAACAACTTGCATACCGCCTGACACATTTGCTTAGAGATTTATAGGTACAGTCTATCTACCACAAATGAAAGAAACCATGCAACACATTTCTCTAGGTTTGGCTTACTGCATTTAATCATTTTTCCAATCTTTCCATTTCCTTATGATTTGTATAATGTTCTGATAATAAGTAAAATTTCATTGCCAACAGCACAACCATGGTCATTTCATTACTATTCACCATAGCCAAGATATGGAACAGTCCAGATGCCCCTGAATAAACAAATGGATCAAGAAAATGTGGTATCTTTGGAAAGTAGTATGGAGGTTCCTCAGAAGACTCAACATAGAGCTCCCCTATGACCCAGAAATCCCACTTTTGGGTATTTACCCAAATGATCACAAACAAGACCATACTAAAGCTACAGCACAACTATGTTTATTGCAGCATTATTTACCATAGATAAGATATGCAACAAACCCAGATGCCCCTCAGTAGATGAATGCATCAAGAAAATGTGGTATATATACACAATGGAATTGACATTGCCCCATTTGTTAGGAAATGGAAAGACAGAAAAATTATATTAAGTGAAGTAAGCCAGGCCCAAAGAAACATAGATCCCATGGTTTCCCTTATTTGGAATAACTAGTATATGTCTGAGACAAGCAGAAATGGTTAGATAAGTTGATGTCAGGTAAAATGAACCCTAAGATAAGGACTCAAATAGTTTTTCTTTCTTGCTGTTGTTTCTAACATATTTATTAGATATTTCTTTGTTGCTTCGTATGCCCCTCCCCCATGGTATAACTCCTGTTTTCACTGTATTTGATGTTGGTATAATTGGTGGAGGGGAAGAGAAAAAATTGTTTAAATAGGGATACAGGTGGACCCATTGCAACAATGAGAGGTACAAGATCTTACATTGAAAAAGGAACTTTATAACTTTAGAGGGGAAGTTGGGGGAGCGGGAAAGAGAGCAGGGATGGTAAGGGGAAACAAAGGAGGAGCAACAATGCTTGATAAGAAATGTACTCATTACCTTGCTCATGTAATTGTAACCCCTCTGTATGGTATTTTCACAATAAAAAAAAACTAAAAAAAAGAAAAGTTGTTTTGTTTTATGTGTTATATATGTGTGTATGTATGTATGTATGTATATATACATATATATATAGATATATATATATATATAATTTTTTCTTTTCTTAAAGTCTGCATCACTAGGAAAGGAAGAAAGAGGAGGTATACACTAACAGATTTCAAGAATTATTAGGGCACCTATACAACTACACAGCCAAAAGTTGATGCAACAATAATCCTTACTGTCTTCTTGTGTCTCTGTATGTGTTTGCCAGTACTAAGGCTTTAACTGGGCCTAAACACTATCCCTCAGCTCTTTTGGTCAATGCTGGTACTCTAGTACATGAACTACAGGACCACTTCTGGTATTTGCTAGTTAATTGGATATTATAATCTATGGACTTGTCTGTACAAACTGACTATGAAACATGACCATCAAGAGCATAGCCTCCTGAGTAACTAAGATTACAGGTGTGAGCCACCAGTTCCCAGCTTCCTCAGTGTCTTTGAACATACCTACCAAATATTCATTCAGACAAAAACATTTTTTAGGTATATGAACTAGGAATTCAACATCATTTTATAAAAAATTGCTTTGTAATTTTATCATACACTGTTTCCCAGGCCAACTACTACTGTTTGAATTGTAAATTGTACTTTGTTTTTTTCATAAAGAAGTATTTTTCACCATTTAATTGTATCACAATTGACAATAAAGCTCATCATATTTATTAACATAAATTTTAAATTTCTAAATTTTGCCTTTGTGGATGTAGAATTCATAGTGAGTCTACATCTGTGTGAAATTTCTGTTACAACATCTAAAGCTGTAGTACCTGTGCATCTATTATTCAAAATACGTTTTATTAAAAATTACTTATCTTTCTCCTTTATAGTATGTTTGGAAATATATATACCTTTATTTTATGTATAATTTTATATATAATTCACCATATTAAATAAAATATGGTATTTTAAATATTATTTTAAACCCAGTAATCTTTTGTATTTTATGTCATTTTATTATGTGTTCTTTCTTTCACAAGAATATGACATTTACTATGGAATTAAAGCCCAGAAATTCCTCTGAGACTTCACATCGACATCATGCAATGCACTGTATCTGACAGTTCTTCATGGCACTTTTATGAACTTTTTCTAGATTCCTATGACAATGTGAAAACTCTCAGATGCAAAGACTTTTCAGCTCTTTAGAAATCACTTCTGGGATTATAGCATCAGTGGCTGACACATAATATCTCTTCGATCCATTTCAGTTGAGGTTACAGATCATTGTAACAAATCTTGTTGTAAAAAAACTCAGATATATGCATGTTACCGCAACAGTTAATGTGCATAATCACTTTTAAATATTCTATTACGCTTATTGCTCTGGGTCTTATCCTCATTATAACATTTGTGAAAGCAAGGACAATATCTTTTTCTTCTGTATAATCCATAGCACTTGATGTAACACACATAGGTGAGAATAAATTTTTGTTGGTGACCGAAAAGAGAATAAAGGTTTGGGGACACTCTTACATGTCTATTTTAAACCCCTAAAACTGCTATTATATGTAGTTTAAAAAATTTGTTTTGAAAGATATGTTAGTTTAGTTAGAAAGCCATTTCTGCTAATAAAAGATATTGTGTAACTACAAGATTTTTCAAAAGATTAACTGATTTTAAAAGCAGATATATTTGATTTTTTGTGATGGTTGCTAAGGGAACACCTGGATGTAAATTTATATTACATAAGACTCAGTTAAAATGTTGATCCAAAAAGAGTGCAGAAGCTTCAAGATAAAATGACTGAGAAAGTACTTTCTTATTGGAAAGAAAAAGAGAGTGTGCTTTCTACAATCTATCTCATCCAGTGTTCATTAGTTTAAAGAGGAAAGCAAAATCCAGAAAGATATCCTCTCATTTTCTGACAGTTTCTGTCTCATGGTAAGATTCAGAAAAGAAGAAAAAGCAAATTGAGATATGCTAGCAATTTAATTTATTCAGCATTTAGTGATCTAGATTTCAAGATAAAACTCACATTTGATGGGGAAAATCTCCTTGAGTTATTAAGGGGGAGGTGCCTTAATGTGTATCTGTCATACTGTGCCAAATTTCCTCAATTACTTCTCTATGTGCTTCTATTTAGTGTGAACTATGGAAATTGCAGCCATATGTTATTCGTGTCTATATCTTTGGCATCTGGTGAAGTAACCTGCTTCTCTTTTCAGCCTCTTCTCTTACTCTCACATTCATATTCTATATTCCAAATCAGACGAAAACAACTGAATTTCCTGGGCAACCCTGGCTCATGGCTGTAATCCTAACTGCTCAGGAGGCTGAGATCTGAGGATCACGGTTAAAAACCAGCCGTGGCAGGAAAGTCCATGAGACTCATCTCCAATAACCACTCAGAAAACCAGAAGTGGTGCAGTGGCTTAAGTAGTAGAGCACTAGCCTTGAGCTGAAGAGCCGAGGGACAGCATTCAGGCCCAGAGTTCAAGCCCCCTGACTGACCAAAAACAAAAAACACCTGAATTTCTACAATAGTTCAATTTTCCCCTACCTCTGGGCCTTTTCCCATACTCCTCTAAAGCTCTATGCTTCATCGTTTTCTAACAAAACCATTTTCATCCTCTAGTTACTATCTTATATATAATTTTGTCCTAGACCTCTCTGACTCTCTCTGTCTAAGCAAGTGGCCCTCTTATATGTTCTAGGTCTATCATAACATAAAATTCATTTCATTGTGTAGTAATTATTTCATGGCAACAGGAACCTTATTTTACCCCCAGTATTTAATATAGTGACCATCCACATTATATTAGCTTAGTAAAAGTTTTTTGACTGAATAAAAATAATTACTGAAATAAGAGGAATTTCACAGGTCTAGAGTAATACAAGGAAACGTACGACACAATTTGTGCTTGCAACATCAAGAAGGATCTAAACACATAACACCAGCACATGACACAGACTGCAATGAGTGTTATCATTAATGCAAACACACAGTCTGAATTTCCTAGAACTGCCCAATTTCAAATAATTCATTATTATTCATATATGTATATTTATTATTGTCAGAGCATGTGTTGTTCCTAGTTCTACAGTAAATGCAGTAATTGCACTTATAGCTAACGTATAAGCAAACTGATGTAAGGGTATAAAGATAGAAACACAGGTCTCTGAGAAAGACATTGCAATTTGCATTGTACTTTAACAGGGAGAAGTGACTGACAGAAATAGGTTGAGAGAAGACATACTTTAAGCCAAAGAAAAT